CACCCATCCATTGTCTAAAATCACTCCAAGGAGTAAGTCTTCATATATGTTTGTAGATTTTTTCATGTTTATACCTACACTAATCCAGATTATCGTTATTTCAATTGTAATTGATTCCAATTATACCTCCATGTTTATATATGTGCTAATTCAGGCGTAGTTGTGCCCCAATCATAATGTTTAAATGTACCATGTTAATGAGATTAGAGCAGATTTTTGGAATCTTTATATGTGTTTGTTTCTGTTTTTCATTGAGGATTAGAAGTACATGTAAATGTTTAAATGTATCGTGTAATGTTTTTGTTTTTCATAGAAGATTAGAAGTTTAATGTAAATTTTTTTCATTGAGGATTAGAAGTAAATGACTAAAAGTACACGGCATATTTTTGGAATCTTTTTCATGTATTTGTTTCTGTATCATGTTTTCATGCGTTTGTTTCTGTTTTTGGTATGTGCAAAACATGTGTGTTGAAAGGCTCAACCTTTTCATATCGCGTCATAGACATCAAAATGTCTTCATCCCTTTGAAAATAAAAATACACACACGATAGAGTTTAAAATTCAGATGTTCATACTTTTATTTGACAATTCTAATTTGATTTATTTAATTTATTGCATAATTTTTAATCTAAGGCATTCACAAGATTTTGATTCCTTTGCTTTACCTTCAGTGTGTGATTTCTCAACGGGTTTGGCTTCTCATTTACTTGAAATCATTTTTTCTAATATTGAACTTGCATCTAATGATTTTATAATTACATTTGGTGTGATATGCATATTTAGCATTCGTTCAATTATTGTTTATGTTAATCTTTCAGTGTTATGTCACCTTCCATGTGCTTTAAGTGTTCTTCCTTGATATTAATTACTCTTTATTTTATTCCCCCATTTTTTGTGTGTTAATGTTAGAACAAGATTCATAGTTATATGTAATCTTATGGTTGCTAAACTCAATAATCATGAAGAAGTAAAGTAGTAAATATTAAGATCCTCCACTAACACTAGCTTTTGTTGGAATTTCACTTTCAAAATTCGAAAATTACTATAAGGGTGTAAGTGGATTAGAGTAGCTGCTCAAGAGATGAGTTCAAGTTAGAGATTTTTTAAAGCGGAAGGAAAATTAAAAGTAAAATTATGTCTGTTTCATATAAGAAAACAACAAAAAAAGTCTCTTCTTTAGAAGAAAACTATGGTGTGTAAAAAACTATTCTACGGATAAAACCAGTCTCTTTTCTTTATCTACGGAGATCCACAGCTATTCGGTCGATGCTCCCCCTATCAAAAACGCAAGAGAGTGCAAAACTCTTCATTTGGAATCTCCCGGTGCTATTCATTCTCAATTGCAGCCATTTTATTCAAAACTTTCCAATTTGGTAAATCTGGAACAATTAGAAATTGATTTTGTCAAATCGTGAGACTCCTTTAAATCAGTGTCAATGCTTTCTTTCAGATCGACACCAAGTACTCGAAGTTCTCCGGGTCATAAAAACATGAGCAACTCCTTGCCTCGGGCTTTCGGCTATCATCGATCCTTAGGTGTTTAGTTGCTCTTACATTGTAATGGTTTATTCAGTATTTTTTAAAAAGTTTCTGTTCATACCTTTGATAGTTTAGTACATACTAATATTTGTTGCTGTTTACTTTTGGATTAAATTCAAGAAGGGTTAATTTGATGTTTTAAGCGATTCAGGTTATATTTGACAAGCAAACCGGAAAAAAACAGAGGAATTGGGTTTGTGACAGCGTAGAGTGGCCGGAGGAAGTTGTAGCTGATGTTTAATAATTGAATGTGTATGTGAACGTCTTTCACCTATAATATTCATTTTACGATACATAACACTTGATGATGGGAGTTTTCTTTTTGAGCATTTTGTTGAAAACAAGTAGTGGTTTCCAATATTGGTGTCATGGTTCTTGCTGATAGAAGGGTTGTTTGTATTGACGAGTTTGATAATATGAATGACCAAGATTGTGTGGCTATATATGAGGTTATGGAGGAACACACTGTAATAATTGCTAAATATAGAATGCATGCATCCTTGAATCTATGAGCCTTTGTTATTTCCTCAATTGGTTCATTATTTATTAACCAAAAACTTAATAGAGTTGTTCTTCCATGACCTAAAGTCCACATGTGAAACGGGGACCTTTTCCCCATGGGCTCACAAATGGATTAGTTATTTTTTTGTTTGTAAAAAGATATAATTTTTTATAATATCAATACACTAAAGTCTATAAAATAAATATGAATCTTAGGATCATGTAAGAATTTGTCAACTTCAATAAAGACTATACTCCCGTCCAAGGTTTAGAGTGGATCAAAATGCCTCGAGGTGGGGAATGAGGCGCAAGCCTCATTTCGGTTTGAAAGAATTACACTAAAATAAGCACTGTGAGATAAAATAAAATACATAATCCATTTTTAAGCCAAAATGTCAAATAAGTGATAAATTCATACATGACATATGATGATTAACTCCGCTAATAATTTAATATATTATAAATTAGGCAAATTTTATAGTAGACCTAAGATCCACCATGGACTTATATATGAACAATATAAACTTCTCCTTAATACTAAAATAAGTATCTTTTTTTCTAATTAAAAAATGATTTTTTTTATGTGAAATTATTCACAAAAATGATATGCATCCAAGGTGCACCAAAGAAGTACTCTATAAATTAATTTATAAACTGCAGAAAAAAATTCAGTCTTGAAATATTGATGTAACATTTTTTTAAAAAAAGATACTCAAATTCACAAATTAGAATTGATAGAATAAATTAAAATTGGTAAAAAAGTTGTATCTTATATATAAAAATGGTAGAAAAGTTGTCCTCCGTATTTTATTTAACAAAACTTTTACTTTGTGAAATAAAATTAGATTCAGATTGTGTTTGGTTGGGGGTAAAATATTTTCTTTGAAAAATATTTTCCAAAGAAAAATAATTCTGAGGAAAATTATTCTTCAATCATATAATCCATTATTTTGTAGGAAATATTTTCCTTCAACTAATATCACCAAACACATGAAAATTGAATCAAAATTTTCCTAGAAAATATTTTACACCCAACCAAACACACTTTTAGTAAGTTTTATTTGTATTTGTGCTCTTAAACCTAATCTACAAAACTTGCGTATTATATACAAAACTATATGGTAAGAATTATACTTTTTTGACTAAAATTTATAAAAGTAAACTTAATGAAATAAAAAATGAACATTTACTCCTATTTAAGAACGTTTCTTAATTAACTATTTAAAAGTCATCTATTTCCTTGAAATAACACAGATAATATACTGAGATTTTTATGTCATCTAATAAAACAATATAAATATTAATATGTTTTGAACAATTTTCAAACATTTTTTTGGTAGGCATAAGTTTTTCTCTAATAAAAATTTCTGTAATTTGTTAGGAAGGAAATTTTCTAGAAATAAAACGTTGTAAATGTCTGAATAAAAAACGAATGTGCATAATATGAAACAATTTTAAAATATTTTAGATAGCATGATTAGCTTTTTACACACAATCCGCACCAAATCTCTATTATAGAGCTCCATTCTGTAAGATTTAGGGGAGGGGATGGAGGACGGGGTGAAGAGAGTTCCTTGATTTGTTCGTAGAATCAGAAAACCCGAAGAATTAGAAAGAACATGAACACTCATCCAAAGAAAACGTAAATTATTTTCCCCTCTTGGAGAATTTTTTTTCCTTAAAAACTGATTTCATACCACTTATATAGAGCTTGTTTGGGAGTGATTAAATTCTGGATAAAGTGATTTCTACAAAAGCTGAAAGCAAAACCACCTCATACATGCTTCTCCAAAATGGTGTTGTGTATAAAATAGTGGTGGTGAAAAGCAGAATCTGACATGCCAAACAGAATAAAATCACTTCCACTCAAAGCAGAAGCTAAATTATTAAAAACAGCGCACTACCAAACACCCTCATAACCAAACATAAAAAATTAGATTTTGAAGTTTTTGGAAAAATTATTTCTCTCTCAACCAAATAATCTCTAAAAGTTACAATCCAACAGAATAGTATTTTATAAAAATTGTAGGATAAAACAAAATTTTGTTCAACGGGTCATAGTACTAGTAAAAGAATATGAAGCACACTTATTACCTAAAGAAGGAAAAGGACTGATAGGAACCAAATGGAGTGAGTAAATACATCGAGTTTGAAAAATATAAAAGTAAATAAATTTGTTTTCCCTCAATCCTTTTTCTTTCAAGTTCCCGATATAAAATGTTTATTCCAAACCATTTTCCATAAAGATCCTTATGAGTTGTAACTGTAATTTGTTTCATCAGATAAAAAAAATATTGGCTTCCCATTATTCAAATCAATGATATATAGAAAATATAATCAGTATGCATAGATATGAACAAAAAATTGTGACACAATAATATGCTTGAGTGGAGAGATTTTACATGATACTAACAAAACAAAGCAAAATACTGACCAGGCCGGCAAACAACATCATCTGTATTGCATCTACCTCATTCTCAGTTTTATAAATATCGCCACGCGCAACATTAACCTGCTCCACAACAGAGCATAGACATGGTCACATGAGGTTGAGTAACTCATGTGAGAAATTACAATTGAAAAAAAACAATAAATCACTGTGAATTTACCTTATTTCTAGTTTATTTCTATTCCACTCTACATTCTAAGTTCTGTTTGAAAAACCACTTCATAATTAATCTAAATAAAGTGCCGCCACAAAGTGATGATAAGCTGCATCCTGATTTCTGAACTTGGTGACAGATTCCATAGATAAATGCGTAAATGAACACCGTACATTAGATGCTTTCGAAGAAAGATGAGAGAGAGAGAGAGAGAGAGAGAGAGAGTGTGTGTGTGTGTCTATATATATATATATATACATATATATATATATATGATCACCATCTCATGGGAAAATATAAGAATTTGAACCCTAGAAAGAGTGAGCAGTGGTCTTGGGGTGGAAAACTTATAGAACTGGAATAAGGCTTCAATTATTAAAACACACGTGTGTCCTTAGCCTAAAAAAGATAACTTACGCGTGAAATGGATACATACTCATCACATGAAAGGTGAATCCATATGGGATTTTTTTATTAATTAAAGAAGACAGTTGTTGGTGCTTCAAAAGAATAACTAGTATCACACAAGAAGCAAAATCTTGGACTCTGCAGCGAATGGTTCTGCAAAAAAATGGTAAATCAAGTGAAACACCCCAAAGTTCAATGTAGAATCATGATGGCTTTGGGATAAAGGTGTATTACCAACACGGCTTAATCCAACAAGAGTTGGGGTACCATCTTGTACCATAAAGATGGGATGATGAATCTTGTTGGCTTCCAGAGAAATGCCATTTGCCCGTCTCCATGGAGAAGTAAACAATATTAGTACCACGGAGCAATGGGAAATAAATTCTGTTTCCACCACTCGAAGAAGGCATGGCAGAGGAAGAAGTTGGGTTGAGATACAAGTCGTAACCTCCCAGATTGCTCACCTTTTCCCATGCCTGATGATTATTATTCAGCTTGTAAACATAAACCCATTTTCCTGCACGACCAAGAAATACTGAAATCAACTCCCCACCACACTCCACCAAGAAGTTGTGAGAAAAAAACTTCAGGTCAGCTGGCCTTTGTGGCTTCTCAAGAACTTCCCACCTAATGTTTACTAGTTGCAGATCTATTTCAAGATATCCGAGTCGTCCCATCTTATCCAAGTAATAGAAAGCGTCATTAAACAAGACCGGACTAGTCTGCATTGCTGCATCAAAATTCTTTTCACTCGTCAGTTCATCCCTAGACCAATCTTCGCCAGGTTCAAAATTGATTGATACAAAAACATGGATTCCATCACAGAAATCAATACAAATAGGGTGCATGGAACCTGGTGGCTTTCCAACAAAAAACAAACAATCTTCTATTCTTGTATGACTGTAATTGTAAGTGATGATGTCTCTCTTGAACGGATTGTAAAGATTAACACCCGACCCGCTTTTAGACAATAAAACCCATCCCTCATTACAATAGCGAATGATATGACTTCCAAAGGAGTCTGGCATTCTCATAAAGTAATAATTGTTACCATTGCAATTTACGCTTGGATCCAAGAATTTGTAAACGCTCTCGTGCCTGTCAGGAAACATGAGCAACGGAGAAGTGAAACAATCATTTTTTTCAACTCCAGACAATGCTATTCTCCAATTTATTGGAGGACAAACGGATTGGGATATCTTACTAGTGGCCCGAAAATTCATGTAATCAATGGCTATGAGATGCTTGGAAAAATGTTCCAACAAATCATAAGGAAGGTCGCACAATTGTATGCAACCATCTGTTTTTTCACTCAACTCCATTTTTGATATGACAATGCTTCTTCTTCTTTGATTGTTGATGTTGCAATCATGGTTGATGTGTTCACTTTCTTGCCTAAAGAAAATACCATGTGTTAGAATAGATACAAGTTGCAGTTCCAAAATACACCCTTCATCCCATAAGTTATGTAAAACTTTCAAAATCGGGCGTCTTAAAACTAAAGTCACACTTCCTTTTTTTTAAATAACCTAACCTATCTTTTCAATCACTTTTACACGCTCTCTCTCTCTCTCTTGAAACCTACTCATCCCTACGACCCTGCTCTTTTCAATCAATTAACCTAATCTTTCCTACCCTTTTCAATCACTTTTACACTTATTCTCCTATTTCAACCACATCACGTCAAATTTGACTTTATCTCCGTGTTTTTCATTTGTGACTATACTTATGAGACGGAGGGAGTATACAACAATCAAATTTTTTTCCCTAATCACACACTCTCACTTCATCATGATCTATACGTAAAGAAACAATATAGTATCTTGTTAGATTCATGATTCATCTCGATATCAACTTCAATAATATTAATATACATCATTTCATTTGTGTATTAGAAAGGAGGATAAGCTTTTAGCTTTACTTATTATGTATTCCGTATAAAGAGCGTTTGTAAACTCTGTGATTTTGAGCATTTAGTTCAAAATAAGCAAAGAAAACTAAAATCAAGAATAATAGGGCACAGAAGTGGTAGTAGTACAAAGCTAAAAGCACCATGAGTTCTTCTTGTTTCGAGGTTCAAGCTTTAAGCATGCATGAAAGCATTTTATATTACCAAAAGTATAAGCCTTTGCAAAGACACCCCACCCCAAAGGAAAAAAGAGTTGAAGTAAGTACTGAGTAATATAAGACTTGAAAGAAAATCTTAGCCAAACATCATTTTCATCTTAAAATATATATATATAGATATATAAAGGAATGAATTAGTGAACTCACTTGATGGAGAGGGTGAGTTGGGGCATCATCCAAATAGGAGGAGAAGGCCAAGGGGTGGGGATAGCCGGACGGGGCGAAGACATCACGACACTGCCATCTTCCATGTTATAACAGTATAAACGATGATCTTTTCTCCTTGTAAAATATATACGGTCCCCTGATCCTGAAGTTGGGCAAGAAAAGCAGTAGTTCTCGCCAATGAAAAAAGTTGCGTCCTTGATGCTTTTCATCCTCTCCCAAGCCATAGTATCAAAATTCATTCGGTAGACCTCAAACACTAGAGCTCCAGATGAAAAATGTATTAAAAAGAGTTCCCCGCAGGATTCCAACATATAGACATTGATGTAAGGAGTGAAGCAACCAGACCTCATGTCAGCAGGCCCGTTCACCGTACGCAGAACGAGCCCAAACTCAGCCGCTCCCTCTTCAACTATCTCGATCGACATCATCGAGTAGCAGAAGCCGTCAAGCCAATCCGCACCGAGCTGGGCATATACTTTGCCACCAAAGCCAACAGCCCTCCTGAAAAACAGGGGACTTCCGTTTTCTCTAGCTATTGTATGCAACTCCTCTACAAAAAAAGGTTCCAAATACTTCCCATAGCTTATTTCACTCCACTTTGTTTCTCCAACCCCACACAACATTATGGAGGGCAATTCTTCTAAGAATATTAACAGGGTCAAATTACCTCCCGGAGGTAGTAGTAGGAGGACACAACTGTCGATCTTGTGATTCCATAGGTGATGCAGATCAGGCAGGATTAGGGTATTGTCGAATGTGGTCGAGTTGCACAGAGACAGGGATTTGGCGTTGTAATCGTACAAAACAAGGCGGCCGTGAGCACAAGAAAGAACCTTTTTGTCGCGCAAGACTGGAATGCTCTTGATGTGTGTCTTGACCGGCGAGGGTCCTGTTATGTCGTAACAGAAAGACTGCTTTTTGTAACCTTTGCCGTGGTAATACACCAGCCAAGGGCACCGGCGGCCCGGCGGCGGTGGTTGTGACGCCGCTACTTCTCGGTTCCCAGGAATTGTCATGTCTTCCGTTCCTAGTAGAGAAGAGCTACTGGACTCCGTTTGCTCTGCTCCTCCCTCGTCCTCTGTGGTATTTGTTGCCGCCGGCTGTCGTAAAAGACGACCTCGGAATCGAATCGGTGACACTGTGACAGATCTGGAGTGCTGAACAAGGGAGCGCCTGATGGAATCACTTTATCTTGAAGGCTTGTATCCGATTTGCAGAAGAACCATCGCCGGCGAGGAAGGAGATCGAGAAGAACCAGCGCCCACGGGGGAGAAGAAGATTTTCGAAGAAGGAGATTTGCGACAGACTCTTATACCTGCGACTGACTTTGGTTCAAAACAAATTTTTTATTCATACTTCAAACCAAAAATCCATTCGAATAGCAAAGTCCTATTTTGATACTTTTTTTTATATTTTAGTCCTATTTGGGATGATTTCTAAATTAAATACACCCCCTTAGAATATTAGTAGGAAAGAGTTAATAATGTCAATCCTATCGGGTTTGGATTTGGTCATTTCGAATTCTAATTAATTCAAATTCGGATTGAAAACTGCATTCATGACCCAATATAATCGGGTTTCGGTCGATCCAACGGATTATGATCTTCATTTTTAAATTATAAGTAATTTTTAGATATATAAGTCAATATTACGAATTAAAATACTAATATGCGGAAATTTTAGAAAAAGTAAGATAATTATGTAATTTCATTAAAATTCTATTTAAAAATATAAATTTATATATTAAAAATGAATAGTAAGAAAAGAAATATAATTATAATTTTATTTTTATAACATTATATTTCATATTAATGTATAAAATTTTGAAAACCCTTACATTACCGAGTCGGTGAAGTCGAGTTCGGGTTCGGTCGGGTTGACCTATTGTTTAGTAGGTCATTTTGGGTTCGTCAACAAAACCTATGTTCAAAACTCACTATTTTAGTATTGAGCTTCTGGTAAAAAACAAGTCGGGTCATTTTTTATTTAGTCTAGTTATTTTTACTAAAATCAAATTAGATTAGATTCAATCAGGTCATATCAAAACCAATCAAATAATATCTTTTTAGATTAATTTTATTAAATCCAAAAAATGTTGAAAAACAATACTAATATTTTTGTCTATTATTAGATAATATTTAGTGTATAATTAATCAGTATTACATTATGTAATGTTGTTTGTCATTTACAAATAATTAGAATTAAATATTATATACAATTAAGCAATAATAATAATGTTACATATGATTAAATAATACATGATATAATTATTATATAAGTAATTACAATACTCTATTTGCTACTAAATTATTATTCTTTATTGAAAAATGTATAAAATTACATCTCTTTTAAATAATTTTACTTATAAAATTATATAAACAAAGAGTACAATTAACCTTAACCATAGTTTTATAAACAGGATCGGATAAGCCGACTCGGACCGTGAGCCGCCGAACCGGTGGTCCAACCGGTCCGGTCCAGTCCTGGACCATAATCTACTTCAAATCAGTCTGACCGGTTTAAACCGGTAAGAACCGGTCCAAATCGGTTTGAACCAGCAAAACCGGTCCGAACCGGTTAAATTCATTTTTAATGGGAGGGAATATATTGGTACTAGTTGCAAATCTATTTCAAGATATCCGAGTTGTCCCGTCTTATCCAAGTAATAGAAAGCGTCTTTAAACAAGACCGGACTAGTCTGCATTGCTGCATCAAAATTCTTTTCGCTTGTCAGTTCATCCCTGGACCAATCTTCAACAGGTTCAAAATTGATTGATACAAAAACATGGATTCCATCACAAAAATCAATACAAATAGGTGTGTGGAACCTGGTGGCTTTCCAACAAAAAATAGACAATCTTCTATTCTTGTATGACTCTAAGTGTAAGTGATGATGTCTCTCTTGAAGGATTGTAAAGATCGTTTTGTGAACCCGTCGTCAACAACTTAACGGTGGCCCAAAATTCGCAAAGTTCAGTAAAGTTTTGATTATTATACATTACAGTGAAATGTTGGATTATTTTTGAAAGGCAGAGTAAAATTGGGATTATTTTGAATAATTTTTCCTAATGATAATAATAAAACATTTTACCTGCAAAAGTTGAGAAGATTGGATTCGATCTTCTCGTCACCATCAACATTAATACGTGCATCCATCTTTTCATCAACGTACTGATTAATCTGCGCAGTACTTATAGATGAATTAGCTATGTAAATAGTATATAGCTCAATATGAAGATATAGATTGAAAGCATTACTCACTTGTTGATGATCAAAAGTTTTTGTTAAAAGGTTGAACTGTTCATCATCAAACCTATTTGAGCTTTGAAAGAACTACACAAATGAAAACCAAAAATATTGGTAAATGCAGCTTGTGGATTATGTGGGATGGGGTGGGTGGGGTGGAGATAAAATTACCTTGTGGATTATCTCATATAGGCATTTTTCTCGATTTTTTCACACTCATCCTTATCCATCATTAATGCAGTTTCGTTTTTCCAGAACTGTGCCTCTTGTTCTGCTTCAAAAACGCTCCTCTGTAGCTCCTTTAGCAAACAAAATTATAACTCAGTTTTACAGCATTATTTTTTAATCACAAAATTTCAATAACTGAAGAGTGTGAGGTTGAGTTTGAAAACGCTTCTCCCATCCCAATTCTATGGTCATTGAAATTTTGTGATTAAAAAATAATGTTGTAAAATTGAGTTATAATTTTGTTTGCTAAAGGAGCTATAGAGGAGCGTTTTTGAAGCAGAGGCACAGTTCTGGAAAAACGAAATTGCATTAATGATGGATAAGGTTGAGTGTGAAAAAATGCCTATATGAGATAATCCACAAGGTAATTTTCTCTCCACCCCACCCACCCCATCCCACATAATCCACAAGCTGCATTTACCAATATTTTTTGTTTTCATTTGTGTAGTTCTTTCAAAGCTCAAATAGGTTTGATGAAACAGTTCAACCTTTTAACAAAAAATTTTGATCATCAGCAAGTGAGTAATGATTTCAATCTATATCTTCATATTGAGCTCTATACATTTATTTACGTAGCTAATTCATCTATAACTACTGCGCAGATTAATCAATACTTTGATAAAAAGATGGATGCACGTATTAATGTTGATGGTGACAAGAAGATCAAATCCAATCTTCTCAACTTTTGCAGGTAATACGTTTTATTATTATCATTAGGAAAAATTAATCAAAATAATCCCAATTTTACTTTGTCTTTCAAAAATAATCCCACATTTCAATGTAATGTATAATAATCACAACTTTACTGAACTTTGCGGGTTTTGGGCCGCCGTTAAGTTGTTGACGGCGGGTTTACAGAGCGATCTGTTCTTGCCCAGCTCCAGATGAAAAATGTATTAAGAAGAGTTCCCCGCAGGATTCCAACATATAGATATTGATGTAAGGAGTGAAGCAACCACAGCTCATGTCAGCAGGCCCGTTCACCGTAGGCAGAACGAGCCCAAACTCTGCCGCTCCCTCTTCTTCCTCTTTAACTATCTCGATCGACATCATTGAGTAGCATAAGCCATCAAGCCAATCCGCACCGAGATGGGCACATACTTTGCCACCAAAGCCAACAGCCCTCCTGAAAACCAGGGGACTTCCATTTTCTCTAGCTATTGTATGCAACTCCTCTAGAAAAAAAGGTTCCAAATACTTCCCATAGCTAATTTTTCCTAATGATAATAATATTTCCAAGAATATTAACAGGGTCAAATTACCTCCCGTAGTTAGTAGTAGGAGGACACAATTGTCGATCTTGTGATTCCAAAGGTGATGCAAATCAGGCAGGATTAGGGTATTGTCAAATGTGGTCGAGTTACACAGAGACAGGGATTTGGCGTTGTAATCGTACAAAACAAGGCGGCCGTGAGCACAAGAAAGAACCTTTTTGTCGCGCAAGACTGGAATGCTCTGGATGTGTGTCTTGACCGACGAGGGTCCTGCTATGTCGTAACTGCTTTCTGTAACCTTTGCCGTGATAATACACTAGCCAAGGGCACCGGCCCGGCGCCGGTGGTTGTGACGCCGCTACTTCTTCTAGGTTCCCCGAAATTGTCATGTCTTCCATTCCTATTCCAAATTTCAAATACTCCTTGGTGTGTTGTACTCTAGTAGAGAAGAGCAAAGGACAAAATGTTGTCGAATTGGAAAAACACCACTCTTATAAATATGATTACGAAAACATTTTTTTATGTTTTTTTCTTATTTTTATTAAAATCAAATTAGACTAGGTCAGATCAGATCGAATTAGATTAGATCCAATCAGATTAGATCTAATCAAGAATTATTATTATTATTATTATTTGATTTTCATATACGGGGTATATTTTAGTGTAACTGAAATAACTATTATATCTATGGTGTTATATTAATCATAAAAAAAGTTTCGTTGTACAAAGCACATGCTGATATTTTATAAGGATGAGATATTTTAATAAAAATGTTATCTCTTATCTCTATTGATTACTAAATTTAATTACCTTTTATGTATATATGAATTAAATATTTATTCTAATGTATTTATAAAATAATTATTAAAATATTAAATGAATACTCTTATTTCATAAAAAAATAATCATAAAATAAAAAATATTATTACATTATAATATGAATGATTATTCTAATATATGAATTAGCTAATTTTATTTCATTAAAAAATAATCATAAAATAAAAAATATTGATTATATTATAATACGGAGTATGAATTATCATTACAATTTTCAAATGTTACTATAAGGGTCCGTTTGGTATAAGGAATTGGTGAAATTGGATTTGAATTGGAATAGAAATTCCATGGGATTCAATTCCATAGAACTGAATTCTGTCAATTTCAATTCATTTTTTGCACTATCAATTCCAAATTCACATAATTTTTGTGCTACCAAACACCAGAATTGGAATTGAAGTCCCCAATTCCAATTCCATAGTTTGAATTCCATGTACCAAGCGGAACCTAAAGTCAAATCAAATTATTGATTTGAATTTTAAATCAAATCATAATTAATCAGATTCAGACTAGATCAGATCAAATCAAATCAGATCAAACCAGACTAGATCAGATCAGATCAGAACTACAAAAAATCAGATCAGATCAGACAAAACAAGTTGAATGGAATGGAGCCTTAGTTATGTGGAACTTATTCTTTCTCCTTATTAGTTATTTTTAGAACTCGCAAATATATCAATCAGCTTGGGTTTGAGTTTGGTTATTTCGGATTCGTGTTACTTTAGGTCCGGGTGAGTTCAGGTTTAGGTTGAGAACTGCATGTTCATGACCCAACATTATGTTGGAATTGGTTAAGGAAGAACACTGTGAAGTAGTGTTAAAGAAGAACGCGATAGTATAACGAATCGCGTACGAAACACTTTCAGATCAAAGTTATTTCGGGGTATACGAAATACTTCAATTGGATAAGACGTTAATCAACAACAAGCACTCGGAATCACGTCATTCAATCCATACCACGAGACTCTATTTTATAGAGTCGAAAATTTTCATGATCGGACATAAACGTTCTCGTACGTTTGCGCGGGGAAAAAGAAAGGTGTGAGTTTGAACGAAGAGTCTCTTGTAGTTTTAGGGTGTATTTCGACGTTTATCCACTAGTTCGAGTCCTTTACTGTTTTGGACTCCGGTCATGAAAATCTTAAAGATTTTCATAAAGAAACAACGTCCGAAATAAGGCTCTGCCCCTTGGACCCCGCTACCCGGGGACTACCGCCCCCGGACCCCCGATATCCCAAGGGGTTCTGCCCTCGGACCCCCGTAGTGAAATTGTAATATCGTTGAACGAGCTCGCACTCCGCGCCTCCTAACTCGTTTGACAACGTCTATTTAAATTCTTGTCCGATCTATGTAAATCTAATTACACAAAATAAACCGATGACTCTAAAATCACCAACACATTATTGGGTTCAGATCGGTCGAACGATTTATAACCTTCAGTTTTTAAATTTTTTAAGTAATTTTGATATATATATATATATATATATATTTATATATATATATATATATATATATATATATATATATATATATATATCAATATTATGAATAAAACACTAAATATGCAAAAATTTTAGAAAAAATAACATAATTATGCGATATCATTAAAATTTTATTTAAAAATATTAATTCATACGTTAAAATTTTATTTTAAAATATTAATTCATATATTAAAAATGAGTAGTAAGATAAGAAATATAATTATAATCTTATTTTTATAACATTATATTTCATTTTAATGTATATAGTTTTGAAAACTCTTACATTAGCGAGCCGGTCAAGTCGGATTCGGGTTTGGCCGGAGTTTGACCTATTTTTAGCGTGTCATTTTGGGTTCGTCAATGAATTTTTTTTTCAAAACTTAGTATTTTCGGGTCGAGTTTCGAGTAAAAAAAAACGGGTCATTTTTTGTTTAGTCTAGTTATTCTTATTAAAATGAGATTAAATTAGATTCAATCAGGTCATATGAGAACGAATCAAATAATATCTTTTTAGATTAATTTAATTAAATCGAAAAAGACATTGAAAAACAATACTAATAGTTTTTCTATTATTACATAATAATTCGTGCATAATTAATGTGTATTACATTATGTAATGTTGTTTGTAGTTTACAAATTATTACAATTAAATTGTTATATGCAATAACGCAATAATAATAATAATAATAATAATAATAATAATGTTACATATGACATGATATTATTAATATATAAGTAATTATAATACTTTATTTGTTACTAAATTACTATTCTTTTTTGAAAAAAGTATAAAATTACATCTCTTTTAAATATTTACATCTATCGACTCCATAAAACATTCAAAACTAGAACAAGCTTATGTACCCAACAAAGATAATATTTTCAATTTTAATTTCTTCAAAAACAAATATGAATGTGTTAGGTGATGGATCGGGTGACGAGTGAGAATGTGAGAAACATCTCCACCCGCATCCGATCCAACTCATCATTAGTCCATCCATCACCCTTTTCTTTTCAAATTTTTATTCAAGAGAGCGGTTGGGGTGAAACGAATATCCATCGGGTCGCGTAGGAATTGTCATTCCTACCTTGGGTACCAAAGTGAAAAGAACCGCGCTGCAAGAATAAAAACTCTCTCTAATAATAATAATAAGGAAAAATTATTGAGAATAATTTCAACTTTACTCGATCTTTTTAAAATAACCCCGATTTTCACTTTGATGGATAATAATCCCAACTTTACTGCAATTTGTGAGATTTGGGTCACCATTAAGCTACTAACGGTTGGTTAACGAAAATATCCTGTTTCGCGCAACAAAACGAAAGTTGTGATTATTTTTTGATGATTATTTTTTGAAATTTTCCCTTAAAATTTTAAAATAACTTTCCACATCCATCAATTCTTTTTAAAGATTAATCTTACTTAAAAAAAGATATAAAAATAATGAAGATGAGAAAAACAATTAAAATCATTAAAACTAAAAAAAATACGTAGCGGTGGGTTTTAATGTTTTTGGCACTATACGAACGTATTATTAATGTATTATTTCCTCACCCTGGTCAGAAATAAAAACAAAAATAAAAAAATTATTTTTGATTTTATTAAAACCCTAAAAAATGGAAAGAAAAATAAAAAAAATATTTCCATACTTCAACATAATTTCATTTTAGTTTTTTTAATAAGAAAAATAATTTTTTTTCTTTTGGTTTCTAATTCTTTTTAAAGATTAATCTTACTTAAAAAAAGATATAAAAACAATGAAAATGAGAAAAATAATTAACATCATTAAAAGTAAAATAATACGTAGTGGTGAGTTTTAATGTTTTTGGCACTATACGAACGTATTGTAAATGTATTATTTCCTCACGTTGCTAAGAAATAAAAACAAAAACAAAAAAATAAATAAAAAATTTATTTTTGGTTTTATTAAACCCTAAAAAATGGAAAGAAAAATAAAAAATAAAAAAATATTTTCATACTTCAACATACTTTCATTTTAGTTACTTTTTAATAAGAAAAATAATTTTATTCTTTTGGTTTTTAATTAGAAATTACTGAAGTAATTTTTTTTCATGCTTTACTAGTAGGAGGATGTAATATATTAATGCTCCGTATAGTGCCTAAGATGTTAGAACCTATCGCTCCGTTTATTTTTAGTTTTATTTCTAATCAATTGAGGTTAATTTTAGAGTAAATTTCATAATTGGTCCTTTATAATAGGGGGTTTCCCTATTTAGTCCTCTATTATCAAATATTATCTTAGTGGTCCTTCTTTTATGGGTATCTTTCCACAAATAGTCCTTTTTTATTTTCTATCATGTTGGTGTTAATTTGAGGGCTAAAAGTGTAATTTCACAATGATAATATATCTTTTTTGTCATACACAATTCCAAAGGCTGTTCCGTTTGCATCGTTTGTGAATTATAGTTACTTTCTACTACAACCATAGTCTACAAATGTAGTCTTTCGCTGGAATCCTAGCCCACAATCATAGTCATTATTTTTGTGTTATCCGCTTAACCAATATCAGAACACGTCACTAGACATAATGTTGATGTCAAATTATACTTTTAGCCTTTAAATTAACACCAACATGGCAGAAGATCAAAAAAGGACCATTTGTGGAAAGGCTCCCTTAAAAAAGGACTACGGGGGTAATATTTGACAACAAAGGACTAAATATAGAAACCTCTGTTAATTTTATTGATTATCTTTTTATTTCATTAATTTGTATGGATTCTGATACAGCACAAGGGAGAGCCACGCCCTAAAAGCTACTCCCTCTGTCCTAAAACTTTCTTCCCACTTCCCTTTTTCTTCGTCCTAAAACTACCTTCCCATTAGAAAAAAAAATGACAAATGACATTAATACCCTCATGTACTTACAGCAATTATCTTCTAACTCTATATTTTGAATGATTGCAAAAAAAATTCAAAAAATCTCTTTTAAGGAGGGTAAAATTTGAAGTCAAAGCAAAAAATTAAAAATGGGGAAAAGTCAAACTGGGAAGAAAGATTTAGGACGGAGGGAGTAGTTGTTAAGGTGGGAGAACCCTTGTAACGCCACAAAATATGGCCTAAAATTTATTATAAAACAAAAGTAATTTTTGTCCAATAAAAAATATTTATACGTTTGACCTAAAAATAAATGGATTTTCAAAATAATGACTTTTTGTTAAAAAGTTAATTTATGGATATGTCTCGAAGAGACGAATCCAACGGTACATTTTATAAACCAATCTGATTTATAGATTTCAAGTTATGTCAATTTTAAATAGTAAAATTTGTAACTTTGACCCACAAAATAAACTAAATTCAAAAGTGATTTCATCAGATTATAAATCATAATTTTGACACTTGACAACATCATATTTATCATTTGGATTTAATTCATATATTTTTATCTCATTCATATTATTAAATTAATTTATAACGGAGACAGACCTGAACACTGAGAAAAATAAAAGTTCTCAGAAAAATATTTTGATTACGTCAAAATTCTAGTTTTGACAGTCTAATTCTAAAAATATAATCCGTTTTCAATTCGGAGCAGTTTGGGCGAAAAAGCGCGTACCGTTTGAGGTAAATTACTCAGTTTGGACAAAAGTCCAAAACTAATATCCCAAATCCCTTCCCAAATCCGTAGCTTCCTCCATTCCAATCCTTAGCCACCACAATATTCCACTAATGGATTTCCAATATAATACTCCACCACTTAATACCATCATCATCATAATCTTCACCATCATTCATCCATTCCTCCCTCTCCATTTTCTCTCTCTGTTGGCCAAACAAAAGGAAAAGAAAAAAAAGCTTAAACTCCATAGTTGGTTCAAGGAAGAAGAAGAGGAAGCAAGAAACCATCTAAAGTTCTAAAATCCTGAGTTCAAACACAGCAGCCCACTTCTAGGTAAAAACTGAAATTTTCCATCCATTATCTCGAAATACTTTCTGAACCAAAGTTGTAGCCCCGGACGATACGAATCCAGCCCAACAAACGGCTCGCGATTTCGTTAAGTAAAGAAGAAGATATGGCTAAAATACCGAGACTGCGCCAGTGGTGGCGAGCTCCTCGGGTTGGCATGTGTTTCTTCACAAAATTCATATTATTTCATTTCAAATACTTACCATAAACTCTCTAACAATTATTAGGAACATCCGGAAGGTATCGTAGAGAAGGTTCGGCATTGGAATGTTGAAGTTAGTGAGTTAATCGTCGGAATCGTGTTCATCGACATATTCAAAATTCTGGACAACAACTTTCCCTTGACTTCAGGTCCGATTTACGCTATCTTACATATGTTAAATCGAAATACTTTCTATACGAAAGTTGTAGCCTTACATCTTAGGAATCCACAGAATCAAACGGTTTGCAATTTCGTGAAGAAACGATGGAGATATGCCCAAATTACCGCAGGTTGTCCAGTTGTGACGGAAATGACAAAGTTGGCAAATTTCGATGTTGTTTCCACTCCCGCTCATCCGTAAGGTTTCGGCCGATGATTTCTAGGTCTGTACCTTTGCGTTAGACTTGTCGAATCATTCATCACATACATACATGAACATATATGTTATTCCATATGTTAAAACCATTCCAAAATATATATGTGATACATATATAAGTTATCTATATGTTGAGATCAAAATACACCAAATCCATAAAGTTAATATACACATAAGTAAATATAAACTTTGGAAATCAACCCAACAATATGTATATGTTAATCAAAGGTGCTTAAAAGACTTAAAGAAGTATTTTGGACACTCAAAATATCAAGAGAAAGATTCGCAGACCCAAACGGTCGACGCAAACGGTCGACCGTCGCGTTAAACATCGAAATGGACCCCGACTGTCAGACAAACGGTCGACCGCCGGTGGCCAACGGTCGACCGTCGCCCGCCCAGCCGAGAACCGCCGTCGCCACCCAGTCAACAACGGTTGACCGCCGGTCGACCGTCACGGTGATCTGCCAGCCCGATACGATGAAGATCAAGGTCGACCGTCGCGCCAAACGGTCGACCGTTCCGAGCCCCGTAGCTTAATTAAATGATATTTTTATCAGATTTCACCCAAATAAAATAAAGTATATTTATCCATTCATATTGTTTACAAATTGTTCATATCATATGACTCATATCATCACACATATTGTAGCATATCATATCATGTGCATGCGTAAGAGATCATGCGTAATTGTGTCTCTTATAGCGTGATGTGCGGGACTTAGCAGTCCGACATCACCCGTTCCAGGCTTAGTTTACGTACATGGTATTCAGGTTTCGAGTACCACCCCTATCTTTCTAGTCTCACCTCATTCGTGAGACTAAGGCCGCGTGAGTTCGTCGTACAAAATGGGCGAATCTCATAGCGCAAGGGTGTCCTTGCTCGTTAGAATCATGCATCATGTTATCATCATCAGGTACATTGATTACAGAGGTGTCATGTAATCATCATCAAGAACAATCAAATTGATTAAATGGGAAATCATGTTATCATCATCAAGTACATTGATTACATAGGTGTCATGTAATCATCATCAAGAACAATTATATTGATTACATAGGTGTCATGTAATCATCATCAAGAATAATTATATTGATTAAATATGCCATCAGGTAATTATCATTAAATATTTATCATCATGATTCATCAAATTGACCATATGATAATATGTGCCATATCATGAATGTTACTATACATTTTGTGGACGTATATATATGAATATGTATATGTCTGAGAATCATTCTACAATTCTAGCGTGGTACCACTCAGCGGTTTCGCTGAGCGTGTAGTTTGTATTTTTCGTTGACTACACTTAGGTAACAAGAAGACAATGGTGGAACCACTCCCGGAGGGCATTGAGTCAGAGGAGATGCAAGGATGGCAGGCAAATGTTTGATCATCAAAGAATTTAAATATGTCATGATTTAATTATTATTGTACTTCCGCATTACTCTGAAAATATTTTTAAACGGGTCGCGATCCAGAGTCTGTAAATTTAATATTTATAAGTAATTGTCATTTTCAAATGTCAAGCGAAATTTTTATTTTACTCTTGTTTCACCTTAATTCGTGTAATTCCGGGTTATACAGATTGGAGTGTTACAACCCTTGGCTATATAAACCCATTACCAAGTCCCCCCCCCATTTAACCGGTGTGGGACAATGAAATCAGTCCATATCATCCGACCCCCATAAGGCCCAACGTACGTATGCGTTGGTCACGTTGGTCACAGACTGATTTCATTATCCCACACCGGCTAAATGGGGGACTTGGTGATAGATTTATATAGCCAAGATTTATATAGCCAAGGTGCAGCTCTCCCTTGTGCTGTATGCTGTATCAGTTTCAGTTGCTTTTCTCTTTTTTATTATTTTTTATATTTGTTTTTATATTTTTTTCAAAGGTAAGACTAATCTTTAAAAAAAGAAAAAAGAAATAATGGAAGTAAAAAGTGATTTTAAAAACATAGAAGATTTTTAAAAAATTAAAAACAAAAATTAATCTAAAATAATCCTAATTTTCATTTTGTTATGTAAAATAAGTCCTATTCACCAGCCGTTAGCAACTTAACACCGATCCAGAATTCACAAATTTTAATAAAGTTGGATTGTTATGCGCCACAACGAAAAACGAGATTAAGTTTTAAAAATTGGGTAAAGTTAAATTAAATCCAGAGTAGATAGAGTATTACTCCCTCCGTCCCTAAATAGATTACAATTTTTTTTTCTCTCCTCTCGATAACTTTTGTTTGTTTATGAAATTTCATTAAGTATTTGATAAAATAAAATATTCTTGTCACTCTTGTTTTGTAGAACTTTTGACGTAGTTTTTTAATATGTAATTTTTATATTTTATTGATATACCAATTTGTAAATAAAATGATTTCAAAAAGTAGAAAATTTTACTCCGTAACCCGCAATTTGTAATCAAATTGGGGACGGAGGGAGTAATTTATTTACTGGGCACAGTCCAATCCTTACGCGGTAAAATTTTGCGTGTTGAACATTCCGTGATAACGTAAACGGCAAAACAAACGTCACTTCAGAGACAGACGGCTCTACCTGCACTCGCGGCGCGGCTTCATTTTCCTCCCCCATTACATTACCATCTATGACCCCGCTTCCTCGCCGGAGCTCAGGCCACTTTCCGGCCACCCTACTTTCCTAATTCTCCATTTCCACACACTTACTCTCAGCTCTTTCTATTTTTATTTGTGTTCCGACAATATCTGTTCTCGTTCTCTCTGAGCCCTGAATATCCGCATACTTGCTAGCCGTGGGTTTTCTGTTGAAGTCCGATGAGCTAGGGTTCAATTCCAGCTCAAAAATGATGGTCGATGAAGTTTAAGAGCAGGAATTTCTACTATTTATTCAAAATATACTCCGCACATATAAATAAAACACAAGATGTCAGTGACGGAGCTTAGAGAGCGGCATACGGCGGCAATGCAGGCGGTCAACGATCTCCGGGAACGACTGAGGGAGGAGCGCCGCCGCCTCCTTGACACCGATGGTGTTTTTTCTTACTCTTTCGTTTTCCCCAATTTTTAGTGAAATTTGAGTATGATTGTGGAATGTTGCAGACGTATATGACTAATTAGGATCTCATTTTGTTTGTTTTGAATCCGTTGCAGTGTCCAGTTATGCCAGGTCACAGGGAAAAACTCCCGTTAGCTTCGGCCCGACAGATCTGGTCTGTTGCCGGACCCTGCAAGGGCACACGGGGAAGGTTGGCTTTTCTGTTCTATCTATGAAAGTTCATACTCTTACTAACTTACTTATACTATGTATTCAACTTAACAGACTAATATTTTGATTCCTATTACTCCAGTCATTTTTGTGTCTTCGATGCTTTGCTGGTTATGATTAGATGATTCTCTTTTGAATATTACGATTGCGTCAATTGACAATGGAGCTAAAATAGTGCCGCTATTGAGAATGTTTTAGTTTTGACTAAATCAAAATGATGCGCTAAACTTCCTTTTCTTCTTACTTTCTATGAAGTTTTGGGTAGTTAATGCATCAAAAGTCTAGTAGAAATAATCGCATATTTCCATAGGTGACCCTACTTACTCCAATAGAGTTGGGATTATACTAGGTTTTGTTGTTTTCTTTTTAGTAATATTACGAGTATGAACTTCAAAATCTGAACACTTCTATATCTGAGAATTTGTTGCTGCAAGAGGGCACTGGCAGGCATTGCTGTAGCTTATCATCTTTATTTTATAACTTATTTTGCCAAAATTTTCACCTTAACTAAGATATAAGCCTTATCAACCAAAAGTTTCACCAAAAATACACTACTTATTTCACTGTGCTTTGGCTGAAAATGGTAAAAGGCAGTTCAGAAGTTACTTTATGGTTGAAGTGGGTCAAAGTAATGAATTCATTTTAATAAATTCAAAAAAATAAATTTTACCTAAATATTTTAGACGATTGAGCAAATTGAGCCTTAGTTATCAGCAGGCTCAGCAGCTTCAACCGTTATATCCTTATCAACGCGCTCTTATGGAACCTACATGGATGAGTAGGTTATGCAATAATCTCTTTAAATCTTCAAACAGGTGTATTCACTGGACTGGACTCCTGAAAAGAATCGTATTGTCAGTGCATCTCAAGATGGACGATTGATAGTATGGAATGCCCTCACGAGCCAGAAAACACATGCAATCAAGCTCCCATGTGCTTGGGTTATGACATGTGCATTTTCTCCAACTGGGCAGTCTGTTGCCTGTGGGGGGCTGGACAGTGTTTGCTCCATCTTCAATTTGAACACTCCTCCTGATAAAGATGGAAACTTAACTGTGTCCAGAATGCTTAGTGGGCATAAGGGCTATGTATCGTCGTGCCAATATATTCCAGATGATGAGACTCGGTTGATAACTAGTTCTGGTGATCATACATGTTTTCTGTGGGATATAACTACCGGTCTAAAAACTTCTGCTTTTGGGGGTGAATTTCAATCTGGACATACTGCAGATGTGTTGAGGTGAGTAATGTTTCCACATGTTTTGTTAGAATCCCATATCAGATGACAGACTCTTAAGGGTCTTCTCAATTGCTAAAATATGGAGGCAAAATATCCGAGGTGCTTTATGGAGTGTGATTGAGCCTTGATAGATCTAATGCTCTCTTTGTCCCATAAAAAGGCTCTATGTTTGACCCGGCATGGTTGTTATTTTGAAAAGTAAAAAGGCTCGATGGGGAGTAGAGAAATAATACAAGACACACGGTTCTTTCCTTAAAAGAAAAGTGGAACCTTATTTTGAGACAGACAAAAAAGAAAAGCGGGAACTGTTTTTTTTGGAATAGAGGGAGCATGTTTAGTTTTTGTTCCATGTATCCATATCTATGCACCCATTGAATTATGGTTTTTCTTATATGTGTTTGATTTATTACCTTGTTTCAGTATCTCAGTAAGCGCATCAAATACTAGAATGTTTGTCTCTGGATCATGTGATGCAACAGCCCGTCTTTGGGACACCCGGGTTGCTAGTCGGGCAGTTCGTACATTCCATGGCCATGAAGCAGATGTTAATTCCGTCAAGTTCTTTCCAGATGGCAATAGGTTTGGTACCGGTTCTGATGACGGAACTTGCAGATTATATGACATTAGGACTGGACATGAACTTCAAGTTTACTCTCATCCTCGTAGTGATAATGAAGTTCCTCATGTGACTTCTATCGCTTTCTCAATTTCTGGACGTCTTCTCTTTGCTGCAGACTCTAATGGAGCTTGCTATGTATGGGACACTCTCTTGGCACAGGTATCATATGATAGTTTTCCTTTAGGACTGCGTTTTATATGCTTTTTTAAATCTCTTTGATGCTGTTTAGGTTTGCTCTAGTAGTAGTAGTAGTAGGTGTTTCAACTTAATAATTATAGAATTTGTTGAACATTACTTTACAGGTGGTTCTGGATCTTGGTGCAGTTCAAAACTCTCATGAAAGCAAAATAAGCTGTTTGGGATTATCAGCTGATGGGAGTGCATTGTGTACAGGAAGTTTGGACACAAATCTCAAGGTTTGTGTTTATCTTGTGCCATTACATATTTGCTTAATCCATCATCAGGTATTAAAATCTCTATTAATATTGTAGAAATCCACTCATGGAACTCACTCTACCCTAAAATTTCTTACCACTTGGACTCACATTCTTATTAGGAAAATGAGATTGTGGTTTTGGTTCATTTTGGAAGGATAGAATCTATTTCAACCACACAAATCCTTCCTTAAACAGAAACACAGAAAGTTTTACTAGAACCCAATATGAAAAGTGAGAAAAAAAATAATGGCAGAGTGTAGTAATTGCACTTTTGGTCCATCAGATGTTTGTTATTGTGTTATGTACGTGCAGTACATGACTAGCTGACTTTGATTTTTTTTGGTTTTTGCAAATGTGACCTTATGGTCTTCCAGTTGTGTAAAAATTCGGACATAAATTCGGTTTTCACTGCACAGATTTGGGCTTTCGGAGGGGTCAGAAAGGTGATATGAAGGATGGATGGCTTCTTCGTTCTTCTATTATGGAGACCTTTTATTTATCGTCATGGAAATAGCAACGGTATGAGGCCGAATCAGAGATATAAATAAGGAAAATTATTTACGACGCCTCTGTAATTCTTGTAGTAATGCTCTGTCAAACCGGATGTTTGTTCTATTATCAACAACATCATCATCATGCCTGTTCCAATTCGTAGATTTTAAGGATATGTTTGGCTATGTTCACGACTGCTATACTATACAAGACTTAACGAGTATATTCTGCAGCATTAAAAAAAGAAAGAGATTTGTCTTCTTAAATCATTTACTCCATTCCTTCTAAGCTTGCCTCCCAATTTGACTTGGCACAATTTGGAATTGGGTGGTTATGAAACATTTAGATATGTTAGAAAAAATGTGATTCACAAAAATATTTCATTTAAGAATGAATTGTGCTTGGGCATCATACCTTCACCCATATTCATTTCACATTAACACGACTTCACAAATATAGGTTCTGTTCTTTTAGGTTGGAATTTCAAAGTTGGATGTTAGAAAAAATTCGAAAGAGTTGGAAGAAACTGGAAGTTGGAAGAAGTTGAAAAATGTTGGAAGAATTTAAGTATTAAAAATTCACTCAATTAAATGATTATCCAAATAAATATGTAAAAAACTCTAATTTTGGATAAAAAAGAATTCACTATTGTTTGTGTTTGAAGTGGTCTGTTATATATTTGAATATATAATTATTGTATATTCATCATATATAAAAACATTTTTAAAGTGGTTGTTGGGATTGTTATCCTTAGTTTGATAAACCTCATATTTTGATGTTAACAAACAATATAAGAACTATCATTTATTTTTCTCCTTTCTCATGTTTAATTCTATAACATGAGAGAGATCAAGTTGCAGTAGGTGACAAGTAGGAGGAGGCTGGTATTAGACACAAGGTAGACACGTAATATCAAATAACACGCATAGACATAGACCGATATCAATTGAATGAGCTTGAAAGCATTAGGAATAATAAGAATAGTAGGAAATAGATTACTTTATTATTATTATTATTATTATTGATGGATACCTTGGATATTTGGTATTCAGTCTTTGTATAATATTAGTCGGGACAGTCCAGTCTGTTGGACTAGCCCATTAGCTTTGTATTACTTCGTAATTATTTATTTAGGGATGACCCAGCCTATTGGGCCGACATATTAGTCTTTGTATGGAAACCCTAGCCCTAACTCTCTCATTATTTATACCATCTTCCCCTAGAAAAGGAAGGAGGGAGAAGGAGGCTCATTATACATCACACAATACACATCTTCTTCATCTCCATACATTTTCTCCTTCTTTTTCTACCCATGGATTCCATAATCCAACAATTATGTACCGTCCTATTGAATAATGAAGATTCCAACCATATATATAAGAAATAGAAGAGAGAATCTTAATCATAGTAAACTAAGGAATTATGGTAACAAAGTAACAATAGAATAGAGAAGTAAATAAATTATGGAGTATTCTATTTACTATTAACCTTATTATTCATAATAAAAAGAATCTATTTTAAAGTTTAAACAAGTTGTCCGTCACATACAGTAGTCAATTACAGGGGCGGAGCTAGCTAGTAAGGAGCAACTGACTGCAGTTGCAGTCACTGGAATTTTTTACTAAACCTATAGCATCTGGACATGAAAAATCGTATGGCAAATTGGCAATACTCCTCTTCCGGCTCTTCGTTTCTCCACCCATCACATACCCTTAAATCTCAAAATCTCAATTCTCCTTTTCAATTTGCAGTTTTTTTTAGCATCTACCAATCCACAATATGTGATTTATATCTCTCAATCTCCATCGGAAATAAATCTGCGATTCAATCTCCTAGGGCGAATAATCTTCAATTGGTAATTTCTGAAACAGGCGGGCAAAGAAGTGACGGACCTATTCTTCTACGTAAAATCTCTGAATTATTGTTTTGGCTTTTCTTGTGTAGATTAATTAGTGGATAGAAATCATGTCTTTTGATTGTTTTTTTTTTAGGTTGCCTCTTGTTCTTGACTTGGGATTAGCTTCTGATCTAGATTTTGAGCTTCAATTACCATTTGACAGTAGAAAAAGATCCTTTCTGTGAAAATGCTGGGTAAATTGTTTGTTCATTCATGCTAACAATTTAATAGTGTACATTAAATTTCTTGTCTTTAATTTTTTTCTCGCCCCCACTCTATGAATTTCCTAGCTCCACCCTGCATACACTCATATGTATAGACACAAAACACACACAAGTCATACAACACATATGGTAAAATTGAACGGATAATAACACACTAATGATCCAAAATAATTAACAATTGAACGCGAAAATTGCTCTCTAATCTATTTCAGTCCTCTGCGATGATTAGTTTCATGTGAATTAAGGAGAAAACAATATACACATGAATTACAACGTACAATATCATTCATATCTCTTACCATTTTATATGGACCATTACAATCTTCTTCTAGCTAGAGAAGAGAAAGAAACATTAGAAATACAGTCTAAGGCCCCGTTTGGTATACGGAATTCAAACTGTAGAATTGGAATTGAGAGCTTAAATTCTAATTCTCGTGTTTGGTAGCACAAAAATTATGTGGATTTAAAATTGGTAATGCAAAAAATGAATTGGAATTGATGAATTCAATTCTATGGAATTAAATCTCATGGAATTGTGATTTCAATTCAATTTCAATTCCATCAATTCCATGTACCAAACAGACCCTAATAAGGATATGAAAAATTAAAACTCCCTGCTCGAGAACTCTTGGCTTGATGATGCCCCAGATTTTTGTCCTTTAAATGTGTCTGTAGTGTAAGAATGAGAATCATAATCTGAACCCTCACTAGACCCAAACAATGCGCTCGGCACTGATTTAATTCCCTCGTTTAGATCATTCAATGAGACGTCGCCTTCCAATGCTTGCACAATCTGCCAGCAGACAAAATGTCAAACAAATTGATTTACTTATTTTTTAAAGTATACGTTGCGGATCCATATGTTGGGCACAGTTCCACGCACACCGGAAAAATCAAACAAGTTTTATCCCATATAAAGAAATGTGAAACACTACACATTAGCTTAAGCCGTTGGTTAGAAAATGAATCCAGAGTTTGTATGAAAAAGTAGTCAGATCAACTCTCACCCGATTCACTCGGCTCAACAAAATACCAACATGTAAGCATGCATGCATGCATGTAAGTATCGATGTATGTATGTATGTAAGTATGTGTGTGTGTGCATGCATGTATGTATGCACCTGGCTCATTTTTGGACGCCTCCTAGCAGAATGCCTAATAGAAGCGGCTGCACAAACCACCATGCAACGCATCTCGTGGGAATTGTATTCGTTCTCCAAACGCGGATCCACTAGATCCTCAAAACTCCCACCATCTGCCGCCGCACTCGTCAGAATGGGCCTTGCCTGCATGCATGCATGAGCGAAGATCGGATCAGAGGTCGGCATGCATTATTGCATGATATATATATATATATATATATATATATATATATATATATATATATATATATATATATAAAGGCATGTGTGCATATGTATGTATAGAGGTGCATGCACATGCATATATATATATATATATATATATATATATATACATACCCAGTCGACTAAGTTGTCTTCATCATCATCAGTGTTAACATCTACAGGGCGTCGCCCAGTTATGAGTTCCAAGAGTACGACTCCAAAAGAGTAGACATCTGATTTCTCTGTCAGCTTTCCACTCGCTGCATACTCTGGTGCCAAGTACCTACGTGCAGTCGATGATTTGAATGATATATAAACCATCCATTCCATGCATTTTTTATTATTCAAACACGCACATATATACTAAGACATCAACAAGATTAATTATTAAATGTTACTCGATCAAATGTGTAAATATTATTGATTACCCAAATGTCCCCATGATACGCGTAGAGACGTGGGTGTTGGTATCATTTGAGAGCTTAGCCAATCCAAAATCAGCCACCTATATAATAAGCACAAAATCAGCCACTCTAATCTTATTCACTTCCTTTGTCCCACTAGGTTTTTTCTAGTTCACTTTATCATATTTGACTCAAGCCATTTTTAGTTCATATTAAATGGCGTAGAATTGAAAAATAAAAATATATATCTAAAAATTAGATATAAAAATATCCGCAAAACAAGTGGTGGCAAAACTGTTTTATTTTATCAAATAATCAAAAGAATTAGGTCGAAAAGTCTATAAAATTTGACAGTGTAAATAGTAACTTGGAAAAACCTAAAGAGACATATATCTTTTCTTTGACCAAATCACAAAAAAATAAGAACAATGATCTAGTGAATGTTTGAGGTCTTCTAGATGGGTGTTTTTTATCCAATAAAATGTACTCCAAACATTTTATTTCTCAATCTTCAATACACTTAATAAAATGAAACTCTTTAATGTTCGTTATAAAATGCTAATTAGTTAAGTACTTTTAGAATATGGGAATAAGAATATTTCCCATTAAATTATGTAGTACATGGTAGAGCATATATAAGAAAAACTCCTAACACAACTAGAAATAGAAAACAAAAACCAACTAAATTATTAGATTTGCCATAAATTGAAATACTTAATGTTACTACCTAATATCCTCCATCAATCTGAGTCTAGCTCAAGTAAGAGTCGAAAATTGACTCCAAAGTCAAAATTAACTCGGGGGTGGGGGGTGTGTTCGGGTCGGGGCGGGGTGGAGGGTTTACCGGGGGGTTAAGGGTGTAGGAATCGTCAATTTTACGAACGAGCTGACACCAGAGCACCCCCGGGTCATCTCATGACATTGGTTTGGTTCCCAATGTCATAGAACCGACCCGAAGTATATTTAGTAACAATATACTAAATATACTAAAAAAGTATTTCTGTCTCGTTTGCAATAATTTCGACCTACAACTTTGTTTTTTTCTTTATAACCGTGTTGATTGGATCATAAAACCTATTTATGGGACATATGGGTAAGACAAGATAGGAATGATTATGAAGTGTGAAAATATGACTAAATTGAAAGGAGACAAAATTAATGAAACAAACAAAAAATATAAAACGAGACAAAAAAAACAGTGCAACAAAAGGGGTAATTTATGAAGTAGGTACCTTGACATCAAAATTGTAGTCCAAGAGAATATTTGCAGCCTTAATATCCCTGTGTATAATTCGAGGATGGCCTGCAATTAAAAACAAACATTTCATATTTCTTCATCAATTGGAATGTTTATCATTTCCCATGACTAAATTAATTACAAGCCTTCATCAACTCACAATCTTCGTGGAGATAAGCAAAACCTTTTGCTGCTCCAAGTGCTATCTTAAGCCTCGTTTGGAAGTCCATAACAGGGCGATCTGCTCCTGCATTATACAGAGTGGGACTTTGAAAAAAGTGGGACTCCATGTCCAATGAAGAGTCTCATTTTGACAATATTAATGTTTGCTCTTACATAAGAGCGATAAATTCTGTGTGCTTGGGTCCAAAGTGGGATTAGCCTGTTTTCTTGTTCTTCTTAAAGGTCTTATGAGTTAGCTAACTAGGATGAGAATGTGTCTCACAAAAAGTATGTAGGTCCACAATGAAACTTGTGCTCAAAGTTCACAACCTTTAACTATAATACACACTCCGTCCAAAAATTATCTTTTCGCAACGCGTTACGATATTTGACTGGAATTATTTTCAAATCAATTTATACGAAGAATGGCGTTGAATTAAAAAATACTCCGTAAAAATTACATATTAAAAACTAAATCAAAAGATTTACAAAACTAGAGGTGACATGACTATATTATTTTATCAAATGGACCATGAAAATAGGCCAACAAAGTGAATAATGTTTGACCCGGCCTATGAATAGTGATTGAGAAGATAATTTTTGGACGGATGTAGTATTTAAAAGAAAAAAACAATATTATAAATCTATTTGGGAAGATCTTCATTGTTTTGAAAAAATCTAACAACTGTTTAGTCTTGCAAATTATTATATGGTACACTCGGATGTACTGTACATCTTGACAAACTTGCAATTAAAAAATAATTCAGAATGAATACTACATTATTTCAGAATGAACACTATATGTTATTTCAGAATGAACATACTACACTAGACATGCTTGGATTGAGCACTACGTTGCTTCTGAGTAAACATTACGTTGATTCAAAATGAACATTTAGTGAATTGAGCATACACTAGACATGCTTGGATTGAGCATACCCAGATGTATAATATAGACTCTTATTTAGTTTTAGCAATTTCAAAGTTAATTTGTACTATTAGTGAATTGTAAAAAACACAAACACTAATTGAAAATAGTGTTCCCAAACAAGTCTTATGTTCTAAATGTAAACTTAAAAAATAATATTTCGTATCATTTAATTATTTTTCAAATCTACTCCATTCGTACCAAAACAATTCCTGATTGAAGTCTTAAAAACATACTCTCTCCGTCCCGAGAAACATGGGAGTTTTGATTTTGAAGAGAGATTTAAGAGGAGTGTATTTTGGTATTGAATTTCCAAAAATGTCTTTTGATGTGATGGGTAAAAGTATGATTTGATGGATAGATTATTAGTAAAAAGGTATGATGTGATAATAGGTAGGGTATGAAAAAGTAAGGAGTAAAAGTGACTTTTTAATAGAAATAAGAAGTGTTTTTTGGGACGGATGAAAAGAGAAAGAAGAAAGGTTTTCTGGGACGGAGAGAGTATGTTTTTGGTGTTACTTGTATTTTCTCAGTATGATTCATCTATTCCTGCACATCATATCCAATCATATTATAAAATAAGAGTAAAATTAGAAAATAAGACCAAAACTATACATTATTAATGCATGCTTTTTTTAAACATGAAAGATTTTAAAGATTAGAGTGAGTAATATTTAAGATATTTATTTATGCATATTTAAAGATACTAACGACCAAAATATTACGTTGAAGATTGATTGTAAAAGGTTTAAGAAAGATGTTTGTTTTAGAATAGAGAAAGTGACAAAATTATCTTTGCTAAAGAGCTTGTAGTCTAGTGATACAATTGGAGTGCTTCTTTGGTTCACCTTGGATGCATATCGATTTTGTAGACATTCTCACATTAATTTTTTTTATTTGAAAAACAAATGCTTATTTAAGTATTTAATAAATACTTATTTTGTTCATATATAGGTCTATGATGGACCTTAGGTCTACCATAGAATCTTCCATATAATTGTGGCTTACCCAATTGAGAGGTCAATGATTATATTCGATTTTGAGTTGAGGCAATAACTCTTATCTTTAATACAGAGTAATTAAACTAAAATCTCAACCTTGTGAATTTTTTAGTCTTGCACGTAAAATTTTAAATTTTTTTATGACGGTAGTTTCAAACTCGTGACTTTTTGATCAAGAATCCTCTAGTTAATCAAAAGCTGAAAGCTATTGTTGTAGGTTTAGAAAATATTTTTGTATTCTACTCCTTTGGTCTCCCATCCCATAAATCTTTCCATTAGCCCTTTTTATTAGTTCCCCATAAAACTTCACATTACCTTTTTAACATTTAAAATATTATAACTATTTTAACTTACTTTATTTATTACACTTTTTATTAAGGATATTTTGGTAAACTTTTATCTTTTTTCAATTTTTTTAAACTACAAAAGGTCAAAATGAGAAGATCTTAGGATACGGAAGAAATAACTTATAGGTATATGGATAAATGTTGATGTAGGCCCCGTTTCGCATCAGCGTTAGAGATTAGCGTTAGCATTTTGAAAAAGCTATTTAACGGTAGCATTTAGCATTAACATTTTCAGAATTAATCTATAGCATTAAAATTTTATCCAAAATGCTAGCGCTTATCATAAAGATGTTCCCAAACAAGGCCATACGTATTAATTAAGAAATATTTGCAATAAATAACGCTAAAACTTAAGTCATTTTTCTAAGTACTCCCTTCGTCCCAAAAAGTCTCGTTCCGAAAAAATTGCGTCTCTTAAAGTTTGTCCCATTTCTATTAAAAAACCACTTTTACCCCTTACTTTTTCATACCCTACCTATCACATCATACATTTTTCCTAAAAATTTATTCATCACATTCTACTTTTACCCATCACATCAAGGGTATTTTTGGAAAGTCAACACCAAAATATCTCTCCTTATTTTACCACTTTAGTCAAAATGGGACAAACCTTTTGGGACGAAGGAAGTAGCACTTAAATTGTTTTATTCCCTAAATAACACTTAATAATGTCCATAATGATCAATGATGGCGAATATTTACTTGAATAATGACTAAAAGTGTTATATTGGAAAAAAATACATGTGATGCAATTTAGTGAAAGTCATTATATTTTAGTGATATTTAATTAAATTGTCCATTAATTAATTGCTTACTTACCGTGGAGATGAAGATGGTGTTCAAGAGTATTGTTGGGGACAAACTCGTAAATGAGCATCCTCTGGGCACCAGAAATGCAATACCCGACCAAAGAAACGAGGTGGCGGTGGTGGACGCGGCTGATGATCTCCACCTCCGCCTGAAACTCCCTCTCCCTGCCCGCTGTTTGACTTGAGGCACTTCACGGCGATGTCCTTTCCGTTGGGCAGCACCCCTTTGTACACGTACCCGAACCCCCCTTGCCCCAACAGCTTCTCCTTCGAGAACCCGCCGGTCGCCGCCGCCAGGTCCTCGTACGTGAAGCTGCTCTGGCTGAAGCCCAGAGCCGTGGACGGATGCGGCGGCGGCTTTGCCGGGCCGGAGAACGCTGCAGAGCTCATGTCGCTGCTGTGCAGCGGCGGCGGCCCGATCGGCCACGTGTGCTCGGAGCTCACGCCGGCGCTGTGTGGAGGCGCCGGTGGCATCTTCACGAAGTAGTCGCTCGCTTGCGTCTGATTTGGGTGCCAATTCCCGTAATGCCCTTTGTACCCATCACTCCCTGCATCATGATGAAATTAAAACACTAATTTGTGGTTGGAGTTATTTTAGATTTTTAGGTGGTTGCGAATGAAAAAGTTCACCAGAAAAATACTCGCGGCTGACGCAAGTTTTGTCGAAATAACTTTCAGGTCCCTCTATTTTCAAAAAGACAACTAAGGTCCTTATATTTTGTTGTAATGACTGGGAGGTGACATTTCATCCAATACATCATCCGTAAGTGTTAATAAATGTATTTTTTTCCTATTTTTCCAATACCGTTTTTTCCTATTTTGCCATTACCTTGTTTTTTATTTTTTTAAATTTTTTTTATTTCATTTGTTTTAATATAATACAAACAATTTTGAATTTTTATAAGATTTTATAGAAAAAATTCTAAAATAACACTTTAAAAAATAGTAACAAAATGAGAGAAAAACAAAGAAATAAAAAAAGGAACGACCTAAGATTTATTACCTTAAAACATTTAGAAAAGAATAGGAAAAAATACATTTATTAACGTTTATAGATGAAATATTGGATAAAATGTCCTCTTCCAGTAATTACAACAAAATGTAAGGACCTCTGCTGTCTTCTTGAAAATAGAAGGACCTGAGAGTTATTTCAACAAAACTCGCGTCACCCGTTAGTAATTTTCTGAAGAGTTCACCGTTCAAGAATCTCTAAGTAGTTTTGTTTATTTGCACATTTTGATTGATTATTTAAAAAATTTACCGAGTAAAATTTTCGTCATCTTTTTCTTTGAAGAATTTTTTATTTAGTTTTTAAATATGTTAATCTTATTTTTATTTCATTTTCAGTATGACTATTTAAAGAAAATACTTCCTCCATCCTAAAACATTCTTCCCAGAGCACTATTATAACTTCACGGAAATTTATATTTATTTGTGTTTTTCATGGCCTATATGATAAAATAAAATATTCTTGTCACCATTTGTTTTGTTGAACTTTTGATGTAGTTTTTAAATATGTATGTTTTATTTTTTATTTCTATACCAATATTTAAATAAAATAGATTGAAAAAATTTGGGATTTTTCTTCGTTTTGCGTAACGGGAAGAAAGATATAGGACGGAGGGAGTATATTTAAGTACTCAATTTTTAAAACAAAAAATTATATTGAGGAATTTTCATATATAGAACTAAAATATAATGACTTTCCCAAAATAGCATTAAATGTGTTTTTTCTCAATGTAGCACTAGTCATTATCCGTTAGTCATTATTCAAGTAAATTTTTGTCATCATTGAACATTTGGACATTATTAAGTACTCCCACGGTCCACCTAAGATCTTCTCATTGTGCGTTACGAGGCTTGACCAACTTTAATTTTAATTCGATTTATCTGAATATATGGGTAAAATTTTAATGTACGGGTAAAATTTACTCCCTCCGTCCCAAAAGGATTTACACGTTTCAAAAAAATTGCGTCCCATAATCCCTTACCCATTTCTATTAAAAAACTACTTTTACCCCTTACTATTTCAAACCCTACCTATCACATCATCCTTTTTTCCTAATAATCTACACATCACATCCTACTTTTACCCATCACATCAAGGGTATTTTTGGAAAGTCAACACAAAATTATCCCTCCCTTAATTTCAACTTTAGTCAAAATGGGTAACACTTTATGGGACGGAGGGAGTATATTGTAATAAACTACATGAAAAGTTCTACAAAAACTAAAGGTGACAAGATTATATTATTTTGTAAAATGAGTAGTAAAAATAACCAAATAAAGTGAATTAAGTTTGATTTTATGAATAGTGTTTGAGAAGATTTATGGTGGACAAAAGGAGTACTGTTAAGGAAATAAAATAATAGAGAAATGAAAGTTTTAGTGCTGTGCAAAAAAGAATGTTACAAAAAGAATGTTACATACTATTGTCTATGAGCGCAAAAAGTTTTTAGACGAGCGCACGTTAATGATTCATACATACCTTTGCGAGGAGAATTGTCTGTGTAATAACCCATTTGGTTTTGGAGCGGCCTTCTTTTTTTCCGTTTACAGCAAGAGATGAAGAACACTAACATCACAAGGAGCAACAACGCTGCTCCGGCCGCTACTCCGGCGGTGATGGCGATCTCAATGCTGTTATCGTTAGATGCCCGGTCGTTATTTGATTTGTGGTGCTTGGGATGCGGCAGCGGTTTGGAGTGGGGCGGCGGAGGAGGAGGAGGTGGGGGTGGAGGCGGCGAGTCCCCGGGTGGTGGTGGGGATGAATTATCGGGCGGTGGAGGCGGCCGGCTTTTGCCGGAGTTTGGCGGAGGAGGCGGCGATGGTGAATTACCCGGCGGAGGCGGCGGGGAGGAATTGTACGGCGGAGGCGGCGGGGAGGAATCGTCGGGCGGAGGAGGAGGCGATGATGAATCATTATTATTAGGCGGAGGAGGGGAGGATGAATCATCCGGCGATGGAGGAGGGGAAGGTGAATCATCGGGCGGTGGTGGCGCAGTCGGTGGCGGGGGAGATTCTTGAGGCGGCGGCGGGGAAGACATCCTTGGCCCTGCCTATCTCCAAAAATTGTACCTGCTGGTATATATTTGGTAAACCAAATGCAACAACATGACATGCATGCAATATGTATATTACACCCAATAACAATAATGCAATTTCTGGAAATAACATTAAAAAAAAGTATATTTGTGACATGTATCGAGAAACTAAATTTGGAATTAGAATATAATGATGATATAACAATACATCAAATGAAGGAATTGTTAAGGTGGCATATATGGGGAAATGGGAGAGGGAATTGGAAGCAAATTAAAGATGTCACCTGTAGGAGAAGGGCAGGGGAATGTTTGAAAGAGAGGAGAGAATAAGACAAGTTGCATGCACGGTAATTGTTTCAAAATAAGAGGCCAATTCAATTGAGCCGTCTTTCCATCATCCCCTTACACCATCTCTCTCTTTCTCTCCATTAAACATAAGGCTAAAAGTCTCCCCATTTTTTGAAGAAATATTTCCTAAGGTCATTTGCCAATTCTTGCATTATTTTTGGGTATGTAGCACAAATTAATAGAAAAAAATTGTGTGCCACAATCTAAACTATTTCTCAAAAGTAAAATTTGCACTGAATAGGACTAAAACATAAGTCATTTCCTAATGTAAGACTTAAACTTTTTTATTCCCTAAATAGGACTTAATAATGACCAGTGAGAAGATTAATGCCCAAGTGATGCTGGACATTTAGTTGAATAATGACTAATAAATAATGACCAATGGTCCTACATAGGGAAATAAAAACATATAGTCCTATATTGAGAAAGTCATTATGTTTTAATCCTATTTAGGTAAAAATTACTCTTCTTAAAATTCTAAAGCTCGATCTCTTGTCTTTGCCTGATCTTATTGATTATGATCTAATTTTTTTAAAATGTAGTCTGACTCGACCTTGTTGGGTCTATTCTGGTCTAATCTGATGAAATCCGAGCTGATCAGATTGGATATGCTTTGATTTGAATTAATCTTATATAATCTGGTCCAAATAGGAGTTAAAATTATTATTATAACTTTATTACTATTTTTATGATTACTTTAGTTATTATTATTATTCTTGTTGTTGTTGTTGTTCTTATTATTATTATTACTATAGATTAATGTGTTTTGTGAAATATTATTATTATACACCAGTTGCTTACACCAGTTCGTTTGGAGTACCTACGGTGCTTACACCACTATA